ACACAACCCCAGCCCAAGAGCAGCTACTATTTTATCGCCAAAGGAGATTTGTTTTCCTGTGTTCCTTCAGTCTGTCTGAAGGCATGATCATGTCCTTTGTTTGGGTTAACTCACCGAGTGCTGACATGGCTGCATCACTAAGACTCTGTTATCAACGCTCTTAGCTCTTATGGCTGTGCAGGTGCTGTTGCTGCTCCTGTTTTTCACAGGAAGGCATTTCCTGTGCACTTGAGAAGTGTCACACTTGAGCTTCATTCCTGGCTGGAATCTGATTCTGATGAGAGTTGTTCAATGAGCATCATTACTCTGTGGAACGTCCGAAGTGGCTTGCTATGTTTTGTTTTTGAGGACAAACCTGGCTCTTTGTGGCATCCAGCCTTTGGGGACACTTGATACTTTGTAAAGAGTCATGTGATCTCATTAACGGGTCTCTTGGGCACTAGGGAGACACCATGACTTAGGTTTTTAAGAAGGGAAACGCAGGCCCTTAGCAGTGACGTGGTCCGTGCCGTCCAGTTCTGCAACAGTAGACCTGAGCACGAGTGCATGTGTCACCTGCTGGCCACGCCCCTCTGTGTGCCATGCTGTCACCTGCTGGCCACGCCCCTCTGTGTGCCATGCTGTCACCTGCTGGCCACGCCCCTCTGTGTGCCATGCTGTTCCCAGGCGCTTCTTTCTTTCTGAGGAAGGGAGGTAAAGGCACTATGTTGTTACCTTGGAGCACCTCGAGTTTTCTTTTCTTTTTTTCTTTGTTTTTGGCAGTGGTAGTTTTTGTAGGTGTTTTAAATGGAGATGTTTAAACATATTTCCTCAAAACTTTTATTTTGTGTGGTACTGGAAAGTGGGCCAAGGGCCTTGTGTGTGTTGGGACGTACTTTAGCACTGAGCTGTGGATGAGAAGCTCGTGTCTGAAAGAGAAGATTCTGGAGTTCAATGAGTGGCGTGGCTGGGACATGGCTTCAGGTTGCCCCAAATGACAATGGCAATGCTTACCTAAACTTTATAATTTGGCATTGGCCAACTGCTTTGGTGAGGAAACTGGGTATGTGGGTTAAAGAAAATTGAAGAAATCTGCTCTGGGTTTCAGACATTACTCGAGCACAGTCTTTGCCTTTGGCTTTAGGGAAGCTATTGGCCAGCCACTTTGGCACAGCTTTAGCGGATTTGAAGAGAGTTGCTGCTAAATAACCGTTAAGGAGACTAAAGGGAGCCAAAGCTAATTCTGGACCTACAGGATTTCAGTGCTCCGAGTCGTGAAGTCCTATGTAGTGCTGTGGAATCTCTTTAAACCCCTCTTCCTCTCCCTCTGTCCCGTCCCTCTCCCATCTCCATCCGTTCATTTTGTGTGTGGTTGCTTACATGCCATGGTGCAGGTGTGGAGACAATTTGTGGGAGCTGGTTTCATCCTTTCTCCAGGGGCCTGGGGATCAGACGCAGGACATCAGGTTTATTAGCAGGTACCTTTACCCATGCCGCTCTCTTGCTCGCCCCTTCTAGAATGTGTAATGTGGAATTTCCTCCTGGGAGCCTCAGCTTATAGGCGCGCCTTGCGCTTGTTCTATCTGAGACAGACCTTGGCACACAGTGTCCTTGAACTTCAGTCCTCTCTCAGCCTTCCGAGTGGCTGTGATTACAGGCATGCTTCACTGTGCCTGGGTTCTTTAGGACTTGCTGTGCCAGGAAATGGAGAAAAGACTTCTCGATTGAGTTTGAAACCAGTCTGTTATATGCTTAAGAAAAAACATCAGATGTTAAGTGTTTTTGTGTAAAGTTCTGTAGTAGCAGAATTTTACTAAGTTTGTTCCCTACGTTTAAAAGCATAATTTTCATGTTGTGGCTTTCGCAAAATTATGTTTGCCTTGGGTTCTTCGTTTTCAGATTTTCATGAAGGTCTTGCTGGGAATGAACAAGCAGAACCAAACCAGTTCAGACTAGCAGTCTCAGGCTGCGAGTGGGAGGCTGTCTCACTCAGGCTCTGGTGCTTCCTGTCGCTGTTTCCTCTAAGATCTCTACCTCCAGTCACTGGCTAACCGGGGCACCCATGCCTCTTCAGGTGCTGGGCTACGCTGTGGAGCATTTGCTTGTCTGCACACTGTCTTCTCTCTGTCTGTCTCTTACAAAAGTGGCAGCATACATTCTCAGACCTTAAAACCAAGTACTTTTAGTAATAACGGTGGATTCCAAAGCCCATTGTGTTCACATAGGCATGCTGTTACATTTTCCCCTATTAGTTTATGTGTAGTTTGTAATAGATTGGGCTAATTTGTGAACTGTGCGGTGGAGGTGCTTCTAAGTCTGATTTTACATTATTGACCCTTTCTTGAGAGTAAATACACAATATGCTGATGAAGCTGGCTCAAACCTTCTCCAGAGATTAGCTGCTTAGAGCATTCTGGAGGTTCTCTTTGGACAGAGCTCAGCCATGTCCATTGTTCTCAGACCCAGGGAGTGCACTCAAGGTTTTTCCTGAGAGTTACCTATACAGTGCATGTTCACATTTTCAAAACCATATAAGCTCTTTCATCTTCTGCTTGTTTACTGTCATGGAGCTTGGCAGTGACACCGCTTTCACCACCGTGGCTGTTGTGTTTAGCATGAATGCACTGTGTCCGGTGACTCCTGGTGCTGTGTGCACAAGGGCTACTGCTTGCTTTGAGTGATAGCGGTCCAGGTCAGTGCAGACCTTTGGAGGCTGAGCGCATCTTTTCTAGTGAGAGTGGGAGTCGGCAGGTGGGCTTACGTTGAAGCAGCAGTGTGAGGCTGAGCTGGGCTGGTCCTCCAATGCCTCCGTTCCCCTCCTGTGGGTGGGCTGCTCTATGGGAAGTTCTTCCCAAATGCAAGCATCATTTTGCATTTTGTCATTGTTGTTTGTTTTTATTAATTATGGAGCTTTCATTTTAATAAAAAATGAATATTTAGACCTAAAACTAGAAGTATCATTGTACTCTGCTTGGCCACATTTGCTTTCTGTAGATCAGTCTCCCTTCTTCCTCTTAATAGCAATAACCATGCGTTCTAGATACTTACCTATATCCTCACAGTGAGGGCAGATCTCACCCCTCCTCAAATGAAGACCACCACAGAAAGCCACACTGGTCAACTGTAGAGGCTAGTGACCCATGGAGTATCTAACTCCACCTAAGGCTTTGGGAACACCCAGGAAGAGAGGACAAGGAGACAAGACACACAGAGGCATCTGCTGTGAAAAAGTCTTTTAAAAAACAAAAAAACAAGAAACAAAAAAGACAGCACAAAGTTGGGCAGGGGCTACATGGAGAATGTGATCCAGATATATCATACGAACATTTCAAAAATTAATACAGTTTTTTTGAGACAAGGTTTCTCTGTGTAGCCTTGGCTGTCCTGGACTTGCTTTGTAGACCAGGCTGGCCTCGAATTCACAGTGATACACTGTCTTCTAGAATGCTAGGATCAAAGGTGTGCACCACCATGACAGGGTTTCTTTGTGTAGTTCTGGCTGTCCTGGAACTTGTTCTTTATCTCTGAAGTCAGAGGTAAAGACAGTAGTTGATTAGCTGTGACTTTAAAAAGACACAAATGGCAAGCAAGGAATTAGATTTAATCAAAATTAACTTTTTAAAGCCTGAGAGGACATGAAGAAAGTAAAAAAGCAAATGTACAGAATAAGGTAAAGTAATTGTGGTATGTACCTGATATACAGAATAAGGTGAAGTATTTGTGATATATACCTGATGTATAGAATAGGGTAAAATAACTGTGTTCAAATACCTGATGAAGGGATGAGCCCAGACTATGTCAAGAACCTTGTAACACAGCAGTGAAGGAGATCCAGTTTGAGCCCGGTGGTGGTGGTACGCTTTTTAATCCCAGCACTTGGGAGGCGAGGTAGGTGGATCTCTCAGTTCAAGATCAGCCTGATCTACAGAGTGAGCTCCAGAACAGCTGTGCAGCCAGGGCTGCACAAACAAAAAAAGAAAATTGAATTTGAATAATGGACATAGAATTAAAATAGACATTCTTATAAAGAGATCAAATGACACATAAGTGTCCGAAAGATACCTGTGTAAGTAAAGACATCTAGCTGGACATGGTGCTGTGCACTGTTAATCCCAGTCCTCAGGAGGGAGAGGCAGGCAGATCTCTGGGAGTCTGAGGCCAGCCTGGTCTACCACTCAAACCCAAATGAGTGATACAGACACTTTAAGTTACTAGTCATTGTTAAAACTGAAAAATTGACACTCCTTAAGGCCATAGGTTTATTATTTATTTACTTACTCCCTCAGGCCTTAGAATGTAAGACTGATGATCTGAAACACATACCTGGCTGTGGCTTTCAATCCTGTCAGGTTCCCTGTGGTTTGAGACATGTCTGACCATGCACTGTCAGCCTGCGGTGAAAGCCGAAGGCCCCTGAACCATCGCAGATACTGCTGTACCCCCAGAGGCTGCCAGTGGCTGCTTGCCTCTCGCTCCTTCTCTCTCCTGTTCCTGTCTCCTTCTTTCCCTCACATCTTTGGTTCCTCTTACATGTCAACGGGGTGTGTCTCCAGTTATGGCTTCCCTTTGGTAACTAAGTTACATTCTTTTTAAAATTTTATTTATTTCTTATTAATTACAGTTTATTCACTTCATATCCCAACTGTAGCCCTCTACCTCATTCCCTTCCAATCTCACCCTCCCTCCCTCATCTCTTCCCATGCCCCTCTCCAAGTCCACTGATAGGGGAGGTCCTCCTCCCTTTCCATCTGACTCTAGCCAATCAGGCCTCATCAGGAATGGCTATATTGTCTTCCTTTGTGGCCTGGTAAGGCTGCTCCAACCTCAGGGAGGTGATCAGAGAGCCAGGCACTGAGTCCATGTCAGAGACAGTCCCTGTTCCCCTTACAAGGGAAACTAATTTTGTTAGCACTGCAAATATAAACGGAAAATCTTAGGTAGAAACAAGTGGAAGAAGAACCCTGAAAAAAGGTAAAATTCACAAGGATCTAATTGCTTTTACCTTTTTCTGTTTCTAATAGTGTGCTCCAGTCTATTCACAACAGTGCCTTCTTGTGTCCCAGAGTCCCAGTTCTGTGGGATGTGAGCCTAAAGAAAAAGTAAGTATTCTAAAGACACTGTCTGTAGCTAATTTGAATGGTTTCACTTCTTGTTGCTGCACGATGTTCAGGGCACTGACTGAATTGTAGTGCTATTGTAGTTATTGTATTGCTGAAGTAGAGGCTTCTTTTCTGTTTTTCTTTCTTTTTTACACGAGTGTGCATGCATGCATGTGTACACACCCTGTAGAGGCCAGAGAAAGACGTCCGGTGTTGTGCTCTGTCATGCTCTGACTGAGTCTCACTGAAACTGCAGGTAGGCCTGCAGCAGGCCCCACGGATCTCCCTACCCCTCTGCTCACTGCGCCGCTGCTACAGCACCTGGGGGGCCATGTCCAGGCATTTTTGTGTTTTTTAGAGATTTGAACTCAGGGCCTCGTGCTTCTGTAGCTAATGCCCTTACCCGGTGAGCCCCCACCTCCTACATCAGGTTTTAGAGACTCCAGCGTTGTTACAGTTTTCATTCTAGAGCACAGCTGGAGTCTAACAGTAGCCTCAAAGGTGTTAGAAATGTGGATTCAGGGCTGGAGAGATGACTGAGCGGTCAAGAGCGCTGCTCCCCTTCTCGAGGACCTGGTTCAGTTCCCAGCACCCACATGGTGGCTCACCATGTCTGTAACTCCAGCTCCGTGGGATCTGACCCCTCACCTTCTGGCCTCTGGGGGCATTGCGTGCATGTGGCACTGTGGACTTAGATTTTTTAAACGCCTCTACTTCCCTTCCACCACCCCCCCCCCTTAGGTAGGAGATTAGTTGGGAAAGGGGCTGTAGACCTCTTTTAGCTACTTACTGCTGGTTAGGGTCTTTGGGTTCTTTGGGGATATACCAGTCGTAGTCCTCAGGATACCAGCAGTCCAGTCAGACAGCAGAGTGGCAAACCACAGCAGCAGCAGCAACAACAGAAGCAGTGGGACAACTCAGCAGAAGCAGCTAGACTCTGCCCAAAGGGCACGAGTTTGCTGAGTTTGCCACTGAAGTGCAAAGCCCCTCCAAAGCAGAGAGATGCAAAAAGCACTGTCTCACTGTCTGCGGGTTTCTCTTTATCTCAGAGTTCACAGGAGACTGGTTTCCAACTCACAAAAAGCACCCCCCTACTGACAGACATCATGTGCCTTTTCATGGGGTGTTTTCTGCGGGAGGGGGAGAGGGTATGGTGGGGTTAGGGCATGTGTGGGGAGGGTACAGTGGGGGGTTGGGAGATGGGAACATAGGGGACATATTCCCATGTTCCCCACTTGGGCCCAAAATAAAAAAAACATTTACAGGACACAGCTGAGTTTCCAAAGAAACCAGAAACTTCCACAAACGTGCCACACACACAAAATAGAATAGATAAATCATAAGGAAGACCTCTGTGGGTTTGAGACCGGTCTGCTCTACTGGACAGACACAGCTGGACAGACACAGCTACCTGGTGAGACCCTGTCTCCAAACCCCACCCACAGAAGAGAGAAGGTGTGGATTAATTTCTGAAGCTGGGCGTCTGTTGCCTCAGACCCTCTCTGCTCCTGTGTGAATAGAGTTGCCAAGAGCCACTGGGCCTTTCCTCAGTTGCCTTCACGGTAACACTCAGACTTTCTCCTTGAGTGAGAGCTCTGTCCTCAGCTGGTCTGGTAGATCCCCTGATGGAGGGAACTTGACAGTATGGCCAGCCACAGGCTGACATGATTGCCAGTGTCCCTTGGGCTCCTGGAGCCGTGTGAAGTACGAGCTTGGTGACCTGTTACTGCTTGTATGTGTGTCGGGACTTGCTTTTATTATAACCCCACGAGGCTACAGGAATAGATGACTCATCTCTGACCCTTGTAGCTACTGACACTTATGAACAATAAGTGAGCCGTGGGTGGTGGCTCGTGCTATAAAGCGTTTGGGAAGCTAAGGTAAAAGGATCATGGATTGGAGGCTGTTTAGCGGCTGGAGGGTGGTCAGTGCTTAGAGAGAGTATGTGTTGCGCTTCCCGAGGACCCAGGGTTGTTTCTTAGCACCCACATCTGCCAACTCACAATCACCTCACACTACAGGGAGTCATGGAGTTCTTGGGAAATATTGAGCTGTTCTGTGTGTTGTTACAGTCTGGAGTGTTAAAGAGATCCAACCTTCCTTACCAGGACATTGATTCTTGTGTGTGCTGGCTTTCTAACTGCTGTGCTGGCAAGAATGATGGAAATAACTTGGAAGGGTTTGTGGTTTCAGAGAATTAAGTTTGTAGCCTTGGATCTACTAATTCCCGGTCTTTGCTGTGGCAGTGGGAATGTCTGGTGGAAGCCGCTTACCTCGTAGTTGACAGGCAGCAGGGGGACAGTGGAGTCCTAGACAGACTACAGCACTCAAAGACCTGTCCCAGTGATCCGCTTCTTCCAGCCAGGCTTTTCCAGAGCTTCCCAAAAGAGTGTCTTCTGGTGGGAGCCGGCCCTTATTCAAGTCTTGTGTGGGATACTCAGTATCCAAAGTGTAAGAGTTTTCATTTGAATATGTCACTGACTTCTTTTAAGTTAATCAATTAGGTTTATTTTGTATGAGTGTGTTCATGTGTATGGTGACTGTGTAGTGAGTGTGCAGGGACAGGTACACACATGTGAGAGGAGGTCAACTTCAGCTATCTTCTTGGGCATTGGTTATTAAAGCTCTTATTTGTGTTTCTTCTATCTTTTTCTCCCTACTCTACCCCAGTCCCTTCCAATACCCCAACAGCAGGAAGGAGAGTGAAAAGGTTAGTGGGAGCGGGGGTGCAGTTCTCTTAACTGCTTCCTGCTAGTTAGGGTCTTCAGGTTTCTTGGAGCCAGTACAGTCCTCATTTCAGGCAGTCTCCAACTTCTTGTCTCACAACAGCAACCAGGAACAGCAAGAGGGAAGCAGAAGGAACCTTGTTCTTTCTTGGAGCCCTACAGTGTCTGGGCTCTGGCATTTATTCTTTCTCCAGAATCCTCAGATTCAAACTGTCTACATTTGGCAAAGAGCCCTCTTAGAGCTGGCATGGGACAAATAGTCTGCTGCTGTGGACCATCTGAGTCAGACCCACATCCCATACCTGGGACCAATACAAAAACATGGTTGTAGCCACAACAACCTTCCTCCAATTACTCTTCACTTAATTAATATGTATTTTGAGACAGGGTCTCCTATGTAGCCCTGGATGCTCTGAATTCACTCTGCAGACCAGCCTGCCCTCAAACTCCTGGAGACTCACTTGCCTCTGGTTGGAGTAGAGAGGTGTGTGTTGCCACAGCAGCTTTTCACCTTGTTTTTTTTTTTTTTTTTTTTTTTTTTGGTACAGCGTCTCTCAGTGAATCCTGGTCTCACTGAGTGGCTTTATTAGCTGGTCTTTGAGCTCTGGGAATCCATCTCCACTTCCAGTGCTAGAGGCATGTGCCATTATACTCAGCTTTGGATGGAGTCTTGCAGACCTGAACTTGCGTTCCCAAGTTTGCATGTGGGTGCCTTACCACCTGAGACATCTTCCTGGCCCTTAATTTCTTCCTTATTCAGTCTTTTATTAGTGACTCATATCAGGTCAAAATTAAGGCAGGAGAAATGTGTCTGTAAATAGGAACACATCTGTTTGTAGAAACATACAGTACCAAGCATATGTACTGACTCGCTTGTTTGAGCTGTGATCTGGTTCTGGAGCCAGGTGGCCTCAGACACACGGTCCTCTTCTCTCAGCCTTCTTGGTAATGGGATCACAGTGTGTGTAGCTATGCTTGTTCCTATGAAGATATTTTTAAGTTTTGACATGTCATCTTGTTTCATACATGTTCATTAAAAGAAGGATTTAATTTAATGGTAGTTTGTCTGCGTGAGGTCAGGAGGTTTGAGTGTCCCAAGTTAGTGGGGCCAGCAGAGTATAGAGTGTGTTTTTATGTGCTTGATCGCAGTTGGCATGTATGGGGCTGTTAAGAGAGCCTGCACTGTAATATCCCTTCATGTCAGTCGCACTGTGCTCTGACATGAAGGCTGTATTAAATTGGGCCCTCCCACCCTCCCACCCCTGGCCTGTCGTGTTCTGCTGCTTCTCAGAAGCATCTGGTGATTAACTGTCTGCCTCTATGTCACTGTGGAATACCCAGGAGACATGGTGGGCTCATTCCTTCTCATGGTCTCTGAATGGAGAGAAGAGCCCGTGGCAGTTTAGAGCGCCAGCAGTGATAGGCTAAGCACAAAGAACAGAAGGAAAGGAGGAAGGCTGCGAAGAGGATTAAGAAGAGCTTCCAGAAACTTTGTGCCATCATTAGAGCTGACTAGTCCTGCAGGAGCCCCGTGGATCTTCTGGCACCCAGAAGCCCTTCCGTCTTCAAGGATTCAGGCTCCTGAGTTTTGGTTGTGCTTTTGTGTTTTTGTTCAGGGCACTGCCTCACCTGTGGCTCTACATAGAGCATAAAGTCTCTGTTCTTTAAATGGCAGTAAGTCCTTTCCTTGTCTCTGGTTTTAGTCTCCCAAAGTCTCCTATTTTATCAAATGTATAGGCCAGACTTAAAAAAAAAATCCCTTATAGCTTTTTGGGGAAGTCTTCTTTTCTCAGCATGGGTGCTTTTATCCTGTTCATGCTACCACTTTGCTGTACCCAGTATCCTGGACACAGCTTTAGCACAGCACGTAGCACAATTGGTTGTGATTGTGCCATGTTGTCTACTGAAAGTGCAGTTGATGCTGATAGTTGTTGATGCAGAAGGGGAGTTCAAAGCTGGCTTACTACATGTGTGTATGCTCTTTTTATTTTATTCTTTATTTATTACCATTTCTTCACTTTGTATCCCAGCTGTAGCACCTCTCCCACCCGCTCCCATTGCCATCCTTCCTCCTGCCTCTTCTCCTATGCCCCTCTCTAAGTCCCCTGATAGGGGAGGTCCTCCTCCCCTTCCATCTGACCCTAGTCTATCAGATCTCATCAGGAGTGGCTGCATTGTCTTTCTCTGTGGCCTGGTAAGGCTGTTCCTCCCTCAGGTGGAGGTGATCAAAGAACCAGCCTATGAGTTCATGTCAGAGACAGTCCCTGTTCCCCTTACTAGGGAATCCACTTGGATATTGAGCTGCCATGGGCTACATCTGTGCAGGGTTTCTAGGTTATCTCCATTCATGGTCCTTGGTTGGAGTATCAGTCTCAGAAAAGACCCCTTTTTTTTTTTGGTTCTGTTGTATATACTCTTTAATAGCTATCTGGAAGAATATCTTTATAGCACTGGTTGCTTTTGGGACAGGGACCAGGGTGAATCTTCAGGGCTTTAAACTTTCTGAGGGGCTGCAGTGAGTGGTATGACCAGCTCTCCTGTTATCTTGACCCTTGGGGGCCAAGCTAAATGTACAGATGCTGTGTTAAATGCAAATACCGACTTTCACATAGTTTTCTTGATGGTTGTAAATACCCCTTACAGTCTGGCATAAATGCTGAAGGAATGATATCAGTCACTAGAGTTCTTTTTTTTTTTTTTTTTTTTTTTGGTTTTAACTTTTTATTGATTTTTTGTGAGGTTTACATCATGTACTCCAATCATACTTATCTACCTGTTCCTACATATCTGCCCTTTGCCTTTGCAGACTTTCCCCCAAAGTAAAATAAAAATCAAAAATAAAGAAAAAATAAGCAAAGCAAAACAAAGCATAAAACCTCCCCATTGTGGAAGCTGTCGTGAGTCACAGTGTGTCCTAGAGTATGTCCCTCTGACCACACATTTTACTTGCAAATGTTCATTGAAGTGTGTCTTGGTCTGGTGTGAGGCCTCTGGCTTCTGCTACACCACCAATACTGGGTCCTCACTGGGACTCCTCTTGGATATCCTGTTGTTGCCCTGTGTCATGGAGATCCTGCCGCTTTGGTTCTGCAGGACTGGCCCCTTTGCATGTTCCAGCAGTTTATAGATGAGGTAGATGTTGGGGTGGGCCAACTCAAAGTCCTGGATCTGGGCCTCAGTGGTAGTTGAGTTGGTCAGCCTGACAGCTTTGCCACACCCATACCAGGAGGGTAAGCTCTTCAGCACTGCCCCCCCCAATAGTTCACCCAGTGCTGCAGCCAGCAAGGGGCAGGGTTAGCTCTCTTGCCCTCATGCCCTCACCCGTGCCTTCCACTGGCTGGTACCAGCCAGTGATACGGTGCTGCCCAGGCGAGGTGCAGGGCTTACTCTCCTGAGTGCTGCTGCTGCTGAGGGGCAGGGACAGCTCTCCTGCTCTCAGGGCCCTGAGGACCTGAGCTAAAACTTCAGGCTACTGTGTCATCCTCAGAAGCTCTGGTAGCCTGTGCTTACTTCATCCCCCATTGCCCTAGGAGAACATGTGGATTTGTTGGGTTCCACCCTGGGCAGCTTGGCTCTGGAGGGCCTGAGAGTCACTGCCTAAACCGGAAGTGAAAGGGACTTCTATGTCTTTGATTTTATAACGCCTTATTGTACATCTTTTGCCTGCAGTTGCTTAGTGTGTAAGGAAGAGCAGCGATATTGGCGCTTCTGCAGATGCGGCCTGTTTCACACTAGAGCTTGACTGCTCCAAGTGCGGCTCTCGTGTGGAGGTGTGGTTTTCTCAGGGAGCACATACTGGCCAACAGGGATCTACTGTGACCATTTGGACAGTGTCAGGCCTGCTGAGAGGAGATTATCTTAAGGGTCCACGAGATCAAGACTGACTGTCTTGGGTGGGATTGGGAGGGAATGAGGGAGCGGGATACAGCTGGGATAAGAACTGTAGCTAATATAAAAAAATGAATTAAAAAAAAGACTGACTTCTCAGGCTGGTAGCATAGCCATGTATGTTATAAAGGTTAATTCAAGACTTTTTAAGTCTTTCCAGTTTTTATTTTTTTTTAAATTTTCCATGTAAGCAAAAAAAATGCTATCTTTTCTAAGATACATGAGTATCTTCTATTTTGTTTTTATTTTATTTTATGAGTGTTTATTGTCATGTATGTATGCATGTATGTATTCCATTTTGTGCCTAGTACCCAAGGAACACAGAAAAGAGTGTTGGAACTCCAGTTCTCTGGAACTGGAGTTACAGATGGTTGTGAGCTGCCATGTAGGTGCTGAGAACTGAGGCTGGGTCCTCTGTAAGAGCAGCAAGACCTGGAAGTTGAACCCAGAACCTTTTAAAGTGGTAGGCATGTTTCTCTGTGGCCATACAGCTTAGTTATTGAATAGACTAACCTAGTCAGTTGATGCTTTACCCAAGTTATTGTAGGGCCAGGTCCAAACAGATGAATTTAATTGTGTTTTGGTTGTAAATGAACAAATTATTTATGACATTTACTATTATATTAGAAAGTAAATGTTTACTAGAAACATTATTGTTAATTGTGAAAAAGCTTTTTTTTGTAATAATAACAATTTTTTGTTTCTTGTCAGATTTTCGATAAAATTCTCATTGCTAACAGAGGAGAAATTGCATGTAGGGTAAGTAGAATTTGAAGTGTTTTCTTTTTTGCTCTGAAGTATGTGAAAGTCCCTTTGCATGTGGACCTTGGTTAATAGGTGATGTGTTTTGACTAGGTTATTAAAACATGCAAGAAGATGGGCATCAAGACAGTTGCCATTCACAGCGATGTTGACGCCAGCTCTGTAAGTATATTTTTACCTACTTTCAATGAGGATTTAATTTGGGTCCCTTAGGACAGATGTGAAAGATACTTTCTTCATATTTTTTTCACTTGGCAAAAGGTGTGTTCAGTTTTTAAAGCTATTTGCTTGTCCACTGTTGTCACGAATGCAATGGAAGTATTATCGTTTTTTTTTTTTTTTTTTCAAGCTTCAGACCAAGATTTCCAGGCTCCTTGCTCATCAACAAACAGATTAGAACAAGGCACAAGTTAGGTAGGAAGATGAATGGGCTGTTTACACAGTGTTGGTGTATGCACGTCTCCCGCATAGCCTCAGCAGCACTCAGGGAATGCTGTCATTGTCTAATCCTTCCTAAGTGCGCTACTGTGTTCAGCTGAGAGCTTGACAGGTGAGAGCCAGCTTATGCTAATTGGATCAGAACAAGAGAAAGTATAGCATATAGTCATGAATGATATATAATTTTATTTGGCGTTGTAAACACACAGGTATTTTCTAATGGTAACGAGCTATGAATGAGTAGAGTGAAATTCTATGGGGAGAGAATGCAGAGTATCAGAACTTTATGGATTAGATATGAGTAGCTATACTTTTTAGTCACTGTTTTCCTTTCGGTCTGTTTTTTACAATGTCACCTTTAATAGTTTAGTAATTAATTTAGTAGAAAGATCTTTAAAGCATGGTGATTTAAAAAATGTGTTCTATTTGAAACTTATTTTGTCTTATTGGAATTTTCTTTTCAAAAATCTAGATGAAAGAATTGCAAACTAATAATAAATATACAAAAAAATAAGTGTTAACTACTTAATTTATTTGATGGTTGTGTTTAAAGTATCTTTTAATGAAAAGCAATTAAATTTGTTTTGCATATATAGTTTGACTTAAAAGATTGATCCTAGATTCTTGGTTAATTTTCTTTTTAATTTGATGATTTCAGTAGTAGTTATTTTCATTCCTCATAAGGTTTCTGTCCATAATGGTTTACTGAAGGCTCAAGAGGGCCCTAAAGCAAGACCGTGCATTGGGGCTTTTAATTAGGGTGTCATTTCTAAGTCCCTGTCTTCTGCTTGTTCAGGCTGCTCTTATTCCTTTCAATGGTGTCTTGTAATTTAATAAAGTAAGTTCTGTGCTTACTTTGGTGTATTTATTCTGAAGAATTTTATTTTTTATGCAAGTATCTGTGCTATTTTTTTTTAAAAAGTAAATGTATAGAGATGCAGTTATTTTTGTTTGGTTTTGTAAACTGTGAAGGAGCTGAGCTTTCTGTTTATATTTGAAAGACACTACTTGGTAGTTTTCCTGTCTTTGGTTCCAGCCTAGTCTACAGAGTGAAGTTTGGGACAGCCAGGCTACACAGAGAAACCCTGTCTTGAAAAACAAAAAGAAAACTACCATACTCAAAAACAATTGAGTATCATAGCCTTGTGGATAGAAAAGCTCTCTGTTTTGCAGGGAACACATGTAAAGAGTTGGCATTCTGTAAGTGTTTGGTATAATTCATCTATGAGGTCTGGGTGTGCCTTCTCTGTGGAGAGGTTTTTTTTTTTTTTTTTTTTTTTGGTTACAGATCCTCTTATTCTTTAGTAAGTATCTGAATTTGTCTATTTCTAGGAATCTGTCTACTTAGGTTTCATAGTTTATTGGTATGAAGTTGTTCATGGTATTTCCTTGTTAGCATTTTACTTCTGTAAGGTCCGTGGCAATATCTCCATGCTCATTCCTGACTTTAGATGTTTGAGTCTTGGTCACTGTTAGCCTGGTCAGACTGTGACAACATGCTGCCATAAATGAGGTAGCTCATAAATAACAGGGAAGTCAAGACTGGAAAGTTTGGTTGCTGGTGAGGGTCTGTCCTTCCTGCTTCACATAGGACGCTCTTGACTGACCTCACATGCAGAGGGGCTGGGGACCCTTTTGATGCATCTTTTGAGCTTGGCAACCTCATTCACAAGGTCTTGACTATGACTTAATAGCATTCTTAGACAAACTAGATAACTGTGTTGAGACAAGAGCTATAGAATAGTGGATAATTCTAGTCTACAAACTATGTGAATTAAATTTAACATGAAAAATTGAAGACATGTATTAGAACGTTGAGATTTATACAGGGAAACAATAAGTTAGATGCAAATCATTTCTGGGTTATGTTGTATTCTTTCATGTTAAACCCTAGAAAACACGGTATTTTTGTTTTGAAATTGAACGAAACATAAATATGGAAGAATGGCCTAAAGCAGTGGCTCTCAACCTTCACGTCTCAACCGTGACCCTTTAATACAGTTGCTCATGTTGTGGTGACCCCCAACCGTAACATTAATTTTTGTTGATACTTCATAACTGTAATTTTGCTACTGTTAGGAATTGTAGTATAAATATCCATGTTTTCTGATTGTCTTAGGCAACCCCTGTGAAAAGGTCATTCAACCTCCAAAGGGATCTTGACCCACAGGTTGTGAACCTCTGGCCTAGCGATTTCCCTGGAAAGTTGATAGGGAAAGCAAATTCAATAATTGGGGCAAGCTAGGGCTATTCACGTCAGAGCAAGGGGAGGAGACAGGTCTGCAATAAATCCCTGGATATTAGGCAGGGCTACTGTGGGAGAATTTCTTGACTTGCTAATTAGGGTTTTATCACTGTTATGTTGGCTTAGAAAGTACGGAGGAACAGCTCAGCATTTGTTAGTCCCTAGTTTACTGTGACTTTAGGTGGTTCCGGAGAAGATATTAAATACAGGGATCAGAACTTTTTAATTGTTTTAGTGAATAGGGGCTTCCTTCACTTGGTGAACAAGCAGACTGAGAATTTAGAGATGATTGCATTCTACCTTCCAGATACACCTAGAGAGTGTCCACTCAGTCTTTGTATTTTAAGTGTAAAGTAAAGGAATAAAGTATTTTTATTAAACCACTGAAGTTAGAAACTTAGTTTTTAAAAGAAAGATTTAGTCAAGCCAAATTGAAAAGGTCCAGACTCTTCATTTCAGCAGAGGAAGATGATTCTGTTTCAGCCCTCAACCTCATCTATCTATTTACCTATTTTTATTTATTTATTTTTTTTAGACAGGGTTCCTCTGTGTAGCCCTGGCTGTCCTGGACTCCCTTTGTAGACCAGGCTGCCCTGGAACTCACAGAGATCCGCCTGCCTCTGCTTCCCTGAGTGCTGGGTTTCAGGCGTGTGTCACCAAGGCTGGCTCTCATCTCTCTTATATTGTCACATAATTGTTTTGTGGATGGTCATGCTGAATTGAAATGATCACTGTCTGCTATGTAGCTTTGAAACAAGACTAAAATCAGGAAATATTACCCACACTACTGGCTGGTTAAGGTGCGATTCCTGGTGGGCCCTTGGGCCCAGCCTTAGCATCCATAATGAGGCTGAGTGGTGCTTCCTGTGAGTTCTCTGGGATGAGTGACAGTATCGGAGGTGGTTGTCACACCTTTGATGACATTTCCCTGCTGGCTAGGGAGGGACGGAGGACAAGCAGGACTTCATGATGCTGAAGTAATTAGTGTCTGTTGGTTCCAGCTGAACAAACCAGAGGGTAATGATCAGGTAAATGCAATTGGAGTACATTAATGTAGGCTGTGGTATGAGACCTGAGGGAAGCACAAACATTTTAGGGGGCTGTTGGACTAGCTTTATCTCATTGCTTTAACTATATATATCGTTATGAATTAATATATTTAGATCATGGTTAGCACATTTCCAGTTTTACCTTAGATGTCTACCAAGATTAATGTAGTTGAAATGTAAGAGTCTCAAGCATTTTTCCCCCTTTTAGATGACTTCAGGTTATTTCTCAACATTTTTAAGATGGAAAAGAGTTTTTTTTCTTTCTTTCTTTTTTTAATTTTGAGACAGGAGTTTTGCTAAGTTTCTTAGGATGGCCTTGAACTTATCTGTAGTCCAAAAAAGCCTTGAAGGTACAGAACCTTCTGCCTTAGCCTCCCTAGTAACTGGGATTTTAGGCTTGTGTGTGACCAGGGTTCTCTTTAAAGTGATGTATTTAGTAGTGTGTTCTTTTTATATACACTTATATATGCTTTAAGTTATGTATGTATGTATGTATGTATGTATGTATGTATGTATCTATCGATTGATAAAGAGATATGTCATCTCTTTATCATATGTCATCTCTTTATCATCTGTCTACCTATCATCCATCACCTGTCTATCTGTCATCTGTAGATCATCCACCTGTCTGTCCATCCATTCCATCCATCCATCTATCTAATGTGTATGAGTGTTTGCTTACATGTACACCCAAACATGGACACCACATGTATACCTGGTGTTCCCAGAGGCCAGAAAAGGGTGCTGGATCTCCTGGGACTGGAGTCACACAGATAGTTTGTGGGCCACCTTGTGGCTTCTGGGAATTGAATTTAGGTCACCTGGAAGAGCAGCCAGGGGTTTTAACAGCTGAGCCACTTCTCCAGGCCTGTTGTGTGCACCATATCGGTATGTGATTAGAGGCTGATTTGTAGGAGTCTTTCCCTTACCGAGCTGTGGGGTGTAAGGGGTTGAACTCTGGGCATCAGAGTTGGTATCAAGTGTATGTTTGTCAGCCCCTTAAGGAACACATTCTTTTTTTTTTTTTTTTTTTTTTTTGGTTCCAAAACAGGATTTCTTAGTGTATCTGCCCTTGCTGTTCTAGAACTTGCTTTGTAAGTAGGCTGCCTTGAACTCACAGAGATCTGTCTGCCTCTGCCTCCCTGGTTCTGGGATTCAAGGCATGTGCCACCATCCCAGCTAGTAACACATTCTTAAATTGCTGTGACTACTGAGGGATATGTTGAGAAATTGGCCATTATGATCCGTGTTTTCCAGTTAGTCTTTTTAGTTGGCAACACTCGCTAATACCTAGACCACAACTGAAAACCCTAGGATTATTCTGAATACTCATCAGTATTAAACAGATACTTATGCTGCAACCTGTCAGTGAAGGATTTGCTTACAGCATAACGGCCCATCACAAGGTGCTGGGTAGCTTCATTAAGGAT